GGAAGGGAACCGTGCCGTGCGTACTCATCATGTTCATGAAGTCCGACGCTTTCGTCGAGTCCTTGAAATCCAAGATTATCTTCTTCGTCATATCGTAGGTGCGAACAGTAGGACGTTCACGACTAGGTGGGGTACCTGCCGCCACGACCAAGTCCGCAGCACGCCTCAGGGAAGCTTGCATCATTTTACGAGGGAAGCCAACAATGATGACACGATGGGCACGCTCGAGCACTTCAGGTTTTGCCTCATGCACCATGCTGGAGATCTCACTCCGACGCTGGGTACTGGCTCTTGTGGTCGGTTTGCTTTGTAGCTCGGTAGTGGCTTCCTCAATCTTCTCCAACTTGAGCTCCACCGCCACGGAGACCGCCTCCTTGATGGAAGCAGCACTAGCAACCTCGATGTTCGAGATGCGGGTGTTGAGCAGGTGAACGTTCTTGTCCGTGGTCGAGATAGCTTGCTGGAGCGATTGGACCTCCTGATTGAAGTTCTGCTCCAAGGTCTGGATGCGAATGTTTGATATCCTTGATACTGCCGGTAAGCTGCTTCATCCACGATGGCGGGCTGTCAGGCGCCGCCTCACGCTCAGTGGAGTTACTGCTGTGGCTTCGGCGGCTCCGCGTAGAATCACGACTGTCAGGGCTCATCGAAAACCGTTCAGGAGAGCGTGCAGGACTAGAGCTGACTAACTGCATCGCTTATCTCGGCACCCGCCTAGACTGCGAACGAGACGCCGATTTGCTGACTCGCCTGACACCGCGGACCGCATTTTCTGCGGGAGGCATCGGGCTGACTGGCGTTATCCGACCGTTGTGAGAGTGGCCGAAAAAGGACCTGCGAGGCACTGAAGCTCACGCAGGAGTCGAACGTGCAAAAAGTGAGGCCTGACCTCAGGGGGCTCGAGCCTCCCTGTCGCCTGCAGCAAGGTTCTTACCCCAGGGAAGGTTAGAGCCTTGAGCCAAAATGGCTACGGATTGAGTTGGCGCTCCTCTTCTACATTCTCGAACTTCGTGCTTAAGAAGAACATGATGTAGGTGGCGCCGTCGGTATGGCGGCCACCTATGTTGACGCCAAAATTGATAGCTGCTGGGGGGGCTCTCATGGCTATGGTCCGTGCGAGGCCCCCCAAGCCTCGCTGCAGGGCTGCTGCTTGTTGGGAGGGCGTCATGTTGCCTGTGGTCACGTTGATCCAGGCATGTACCTCGCGGACGAATTCGCGAAAAGTACCTGACCGGCTTGGTCCCAATGAGGGCCAGTCGTTCTTGCGTCGTCTCCGCCACGCACATGTCCTACCGCACACCCGATAGCGACCCATGTGAGCCCAAAGATAGTAGCACCAATCCAATGACCTCGCAGGTCGTAGTCGGATGTCGTCGGTTGGGGCTTCCGATGTGTGGTCGTAAGTCTGCGTGGGGGGGGGGGGGGGGAAGCGGCACTGTATAGCATCGTATCGCATGTTTCCATGCATGATGCTTTCGAAGAAGTTCCCACTTGGAGTAAGTGGGTGGACTTCAGGAGTGTAGTAGCGCAGGGATGTAGGACGAAAGTAAGAGGCCTCCGCGTAAGCAGAGGTTTCACTGCAAGTGTCCTTGCTATACTGCGTAGTTATATACATTTCTCCGCGCAAACCCAGTGCACCCTGATGTTCCACCATGTCTGTAGTCCACCAGATAGTGCCGTGGATGGTGAGGAGTAGAGCAAGAGCTGACCAGCATAGGCCAGCTCCGCTACCAAGTTTGAAGGGGGTTGGGAGACCCAACCAACAGCCTCGAAGCCCAGCTCCCGCTCTGTTGTACCGTATGAACGATAGTTCCAGTAGTAGGGGGCGAGCCATCTCAAGCAGTAGTTTGGTATCGATGGCAAATCATACACCTCACGATGAGGTGTAGTCATATCTGGGCGGCCGGCCGCTTGAGCCACGCGGCCGCGGGCACACGTTCGCTTCCGCTCCTTGTGTCCCCAGCTCACTTTAGAATCAAGAAGCCTCCAAAATCGCCCCAAGACGGCCCAAAAAAAATCCAAGAGGACCCCAAGACGGCCCAAGAGGGCCCCAAGACGGCCCAGAGAGGCCCCCAAGACGCCCCAAGAGGCCCCGAGGACGGCCCAAAAGGACGCCAAGAGAGCCCCTAGGCGGCCGCGAGAGGCCCCCAAGACGGCCTCCGAAGGGGCCAAGCGGCGCAAGAGCGCCCAAGACGGCCCAAGACGCCCCAAGAGGCCCCAAAGATGCCGCCAAGAGGCCCCAAGAAGCCCCCAACGGGCCTCAAAGAAGCCCCCAAGAGGCCCCCAAAAAGGCCCCACAACGACTGGAAATGTACGTGCTCTGGACGTGCACCCCGCGAAGCGAAAGGAATCATTCAAAAGCCAATCAAAGGAAACTGAATGGTGGCGGCCTCTCGGAGCAGTAAGAGGCTCCCGAAGGGCATCCTCCTGCTCCTCCTCACTGCCCTTTTTCCTCCCTTTCCTCCTCTTCGTCGTTCTCCCCCACGTAATCCCCGAAGGGTTTCCACAACGGCCTGGGGGATACGTAGTCCGATAGCTCGACCGAGCTATGGCCGCAACGTTCGGCCGCACAGGCGCTTCCAAAAAGCAGGTGGCGGCAATGATTCGCCATAAGCGTCTTCGAGCCGCCGCCCCGTGCGGCTTGCCACAATGGTGCACGGCGTGTTAAACTGTTGAGTGGTTGTGGTTCCGTTTGCTAATTCCCAGCGGGGTCTCGGCCTGATGCGCCTGCCACCCGAAGAGACCGACTGATTGCCCAACCAATCGCCCCAAGACGGCCAAAATGACCCAACATGGCCTGCAAGACGGCCACGATGGCCCGAGATGCCCTCGAAGACGGTCCCAACGCGCCGGCTGTCAAGATGGCCTGTCAAGATGGCCTCAAGAGAGCCTAAGGTGCTCTCTAGACGGCCGAAGAGGCCCCCAAGACGCCCCAAGAGGGCTCCAAGAGAGCCTCAAGGAGGCCCAAGTCATTGATGCTCCTTGAGTGCTTCAATGATTGCGTTCTCGTCGTTTCGGGCTCCCGACACTCCAAGACGGCTACATAAGCCCACCAGATCGCCCCAAGGCGACCCAAGAGCCCCCGAAGGGGCCCGCAAGACGTCCTAAGTGGGCCCCAAGACGGCCCCATAGCCCTCCAAGACGGACCTCAAGCGCTCAAAGAAAGACCCACGACTGCCCAAAGAAGGCCCCAAGACGCATCCAAGGGCCTTGAGGTACCGTAAGGGCTCCGAGAGGCCCCCAAGCGGCCCAGAGAGGTCCGAGGAAGTCCCCAAGAAACCCCAGGAGAAACCCCCTAAGGCCCTGCAGAGGCCCCCAAGAGGCTCCCAGGATGCCCCGAGGAAGCCCCCAGAGGGCCCCAAGAGGGCCTCAAGAGGCATCGTCTTCTTCTTCTTCTTATTATTATTATTATTATTATTCCTCCTCCTTCTCCTTCTCCTTCTCCTCCTTCTCCTCCTCCTCCTCCTCCAGGTCTTGCTTCTCCTGCCTCCCCTCGTTTCCTTCCTCTCCCAAGTGTTCCCCCAAGGGTTTCCAGAACGGCTGGTTGAACACATTGTCCGAGAGGTTGGCCAAACTTGGGCCCGCCGTTCGGCCGCATGGGCGCTTCCAACCGGCAGGGGGCGGCGGTGATTCGCCGTAGGCGTCTTCGATCCTCCGCCCCCGGTGCTTGACACAGGGGTGCTTGGCCTGCTGGATGTTTTCTGTGAACCCTCCCTTCGACGCTCCAAGTTCCTCCGGGAGGCCCCCCATAATATGTTCCTGTCTTGAGTTCCATCATGTGGCTCAACGGTTTTTGCGTTCTCGCAATTTCCGCCTACCGACAGCCTCAGAGACGGCCACACCGGCCTCCAATATTGTCTCAAGTCTGACCACGCGGCCCGCCAGAGGGCCCCAAGATGGCCGGAAAGACGGCCAAGATGGCCTCCAAAATGGTCGCAAGACGCATCGAACACGGCCAATCTGGCCCCAAGGCAGCCCAGGACGGTTCCCATATGCCCCAGAGCTGCCCAAGATGGACCCAAGACGGCCCAAGAGGCTCTTGAGACGCCACAAGTTGCTCCAAGAGGACCGTCGGGCCTTCAGGAGGACCAAATGCTCTGGTCACCATTGTGAATTTCAATGGGTTTGGCATTCTCGTCCCCATGACGGTCCAAGATGGGTTCCAAGACGGCTCAGAAAGCCCATCCTGGCCTCCAAGACGAACCAAGATGGCCTCCAATGGCTCCAAGATGTGCCAAGACAGACTAATCCTGCTCCTCAAAACCCAAAATGTCCCCAGGGCAGCCCAAGAGGCCCTCCACGAGGTCCTATGGGAGAGACCGAAGAAGCCAAAGTCAATGACGTCCCTGTGGTCTTTGAACGCGTGTCGAGTTCTCGCCATTTCGGTCTTCCGACAGCCATTACTGGGCCAGGGAGGCTCCAAGAGGTCTCCAAAATGGCTCCAAGATAGCCCGAGAAGCCCCCGAGAGGGCCCAAAGATGGGCCAGGATGACCTCAAGACGGCCCAAGAGGCCCCCAGGACAGTCCCAAGAGGGCCCCAAGACGGTCTGAGAGGCCTCCAAGACGTCGCCAGAGCACCCCAAGAGCCCAGGGAGCCCCCCAAGGCCACCGAAGGCATCAGACAGGGCGAGAGAGCCCTGAGACGGCCCACGAGGCCCCCCAGAGGCCCCCAGAGACTCCCAAAAGGCCCTACGGCTCTCCCAAGAGGCCCCCTTGAGACCCCCACGAGGCGACCAAGACGGCTCGGGCAGGCATTCTCCTTGTCATCATCTGATCATGCTCCGCCTCATCCTCCTCGTCCCTCTCCTCCTTCTTCTCCTCCATCTTCCCCTCCTCTCCTTCTTCCTTCCCCAAGTGATCTACCAGGGGGTTCCAATTCCACAACGGATGGGGGGATACATAGTCCAATAGCTTGGCAAAACGCTGGCTCAACGGTTGGCAACATTGGCCACATAGGCGTTTCCAAAAGGCAGGGGGCGGCGGTGGTTCGCTGTAGGCGCCTTCGATAATGAATCAGCAAATCCAGGACCCATGAAAATAGTCCTCCGTACCCCATGCCACGTCCCCCTTGTCTCTTCTCTCTCATGAGTGGTTACCCTGACCCGTTGGACAGGCGACGCCGAGGCTACTATCCAAAAGCCAACGTCAAGGCCATCGTGCCAGCTCATGCCATCAAACAGCTCGAATGACCATACGGTGGCTACGGGTATCGTTTCTTGAAGAAGAAGTGGTACCACTCAGAGACTTGCTGGCGTTGGCTTCGTTCGCGGATTGGGCCAGCTGATCCGCGTCAAACAGGCACGCGCGTTAGCAATGTAGTGTATAGCGGCCAGCACCATGGAAACTGTTGCGCAGAACTGGCGGCAGATGCCAAGACTCATTGAAAACATGTAAGGTGTTCATCTGGGCCGTGGGGCCAGCCCAGCGCTGATATTAAAATCTACCTGGTAGTTGAAAGAACAGGAGGCTGAACAATAGTGACGACGGGGATGTATGACGACAACGATATTACTCCACTCGGGATTGACGACTGCTACGGCAACATACCGTGAGTAATGCGACATCGGCGCACTGTGGCCTCTCACATCTCCCCGATTTGACATGACAAATATTGCGCATCGACTAGCGTACTACACACTACCATCATGTATTCAGCTCTACCTCGCGGTGGATGGCTTGGTTTGTCTTGGGCCGCACTTGAACCATGATCACCGAAACGCTCTCTATCCTGGATCACCGTGCACCAGACTCGTGCACTGGATTCCTTGATTACCGTGCTCTCAAGACCCTCCGTGCTTTGACCATCGCGGTGAGTATTTCGACCATCTGAAGAGAGAGGCCTTCCTGGGCCAACGCTCGCCACGGTGGGACGACTGACAACGAGAAAGTCATTAGGAAAGACAGTGCCAGCAATCGGGAAGCCAAATGCCTGTATCTGTCGTCCTCGTCGGGCAGGAAATGCGATCCCCGTCGCACCGCCCCACCAGCGGCGGACGAATGAGGCTTTGTGACGCCCCTGTAGAAGCCGATTGAAACTCAAGCGAGACGAGCGCCATAGCCAGCGACGCATGGGCCAGCCGCAGTCAACCAATCGCTTTATAAGGCGATCGGGCCTTTCTGCGAGGCACTCGTCCTTGCGGCAAGTCTCTGCACTCGCATTTCTTGGCCGCGAGAAAGCTGCACACGGGCAACGCCGGCTTGTGCGACACACCTTGTGCAGCTGACGATTCGATTGTAAGGAGCCTGCTCCTCCTCCGCCCCTTCCTCATCCTCCTCGTCCTCCTCATCCTCCTCCCCTCCTCTTCCCTCCTTGACTTTCTTTGTCTTAGGCGTTGGCCCATTCTTGAGCCCGCATTTTGCAGAGGCTCCGAGTGGAGGCCACCCTAGGCGCACGACCCCAGAGGTGGGCGTCGCATCCTCTCCCCCCACGTCCCAGCCAGAACCCGCGTGGCATAGGCGGCTCCGCCAGCGCCGAGACGAGGCGCGCAGGCTGCTGGCGGCGGCGTCGACGACGCTCCTGGCGCACCACGGCTGTGGAATGCCCAAGCAGCAGCACAACGGCAAGCTGGGGTCCTGGACCAGCTGCAAGAGGTGCCAGGCCTGGGATTGGGACTAGAGTTGGCAGAAGAAGGACTACTGGTGCGGCTGCGGGGCCCAGGTCTCCCGCAAGGGCGCCAGTAAAAAATCGGGCGGCGGCGCGGGCAGCGGCGGCGGCGCAGCGGGCCAGGGCCCCAACGCGTCGCTGGAGGATACCCTTGCTCAGGTGGCGAAGCACATCGCGACCCTGAATGTCAAGCCCGAGACTGCGCAGCAGTTGTCGGGCGCCGTCGGCGCCATCTCCCAGGCCACCTCCGCTGCGGCTCCGCCACGGAGCAAGGCGTCGAGGCTGGCGGAGGCGGCGAAGGAGCTCGAGGAGGCCAACAGAGTCTACGACCGTGCCTACGACGCCTGCGAGAAGGCCAAGGAGCGCCTGCACCAGTGCGAGAAGGACCTCCAGGACAAGGGCCTCGCGGTAGTCAAAGCAGAGAAGCTCGTAGAGCAGATCACGCAGGAGGGTGCACAGCAGAAGAACCTGCTCCAGGACCTGATGGCGCTCACCGAGGAGGACCGCTCGGTGATGCAGGCCACGAGCTTCGGCGAGGCCTACAACGTGGAGCAGGAGGAAGTCGGGCTCGAGGCTGTGCAGCAGGCCGAGAGGGCAAGACCGCGGAGTTCCTGCAGAACCTGCGCACCCACTGGGATGTGGCCAAGGCCAAGGCGGCGGAGGACAAGGCCATGTGGGTCCAGGCGGCCAGGAAGAGGAAGGCCGACGCCGAGGCCCCCCCCAAGGAGGGCGAAGGGCCTCCCGCGGTTGGGCCAGGAGGCCCCGCGGTGCCAGCGCCAAGTGCCCCCGCCAGCGCGACAGCGCCCGCGCCCCCGTCGCGCGGCAGCCCCCCGCTGCGACGGCGGCGGCGGGAGCGGAGGCGGCACCGGCAGCGGCGGCGGCGGCTGAGAAGGCGGCCAAGGCGGCGGTGGCGGCAGCAGCGAGGGAGAAGCTCCTCGCAGACCTCCGCAAGCAGGACGCTAGTGCTGAGGGGAAGCCAGTCCCCGAGTGAAAGAAAGGGGGGCCTGGGCGACGGCGTAGTGATGCCGAGCGCCGCCCGTCCAGGCATGTTTTTATCGGCAACATGCCGACTTGGGAGCCTACAGCCATGAAGTTCGTTCGAGAGTCTTCTAAGCTTGACTCGCTGGACGCCTTCCTGGTGCAGGAAACACACGTGAAAGCCGACAAGCTTTCAGAGGCCGAGAGCACGCTGAACGGCTGGGGCTGGAAGGCGGCGTTCTCGGCAGCGCGCCAGAGTGATCGCTCAGATGCTGGATCTCTGGGTGGAGTTTGCGTGGCCGTGCGGTCTCGCCACCAGACCACGGCTTTCAGGGAGCTCGCGAGGGAGGACTGTGCACCGTCTAGCACCACAGTCATAGGCGCCTCGCGAGCTGCCTCTATTGAGTTTCATGACTGGGTGCCGGTATCCTGGCACCTCAAAGGGGTGACAGTCACCCTCATCAGCTGTTACCTCGGGGGCTCGAAATGCTTTACGGGCAGCAACGCCCGCAAGCTCGCGTCCATCGGGGCCTTTGTCAGTTCGCTACGCAACCCTTGGATACTAGCAAGCGATTTCGACGCCTCGCCCGAGGCCTTCAAGAAGTCTGGTTGGGACCAGCGGCTTGGAGGCCAGATTGCCACCATCGCAGACACTTTCACTTGCTTCAAAGCAGATTGCGAGCCCTCTCTGATAGATTACGCCCTGCTGGGCCCTGGCGCGCAATACCTGTTTGAGGGCCTGCAGTCTGTGCCTGTCCCGTGGAAGCCTCACGTCAGCCAGGTCTTCTCGCTCCGAACCACAGCGGCGCCTGCGCGAACCCGCCCGCTGCGCATGCCTGCCCCGTTCATGCATCCAAAGAGGCCGCCAAGGCAACCTGGGCCTGGCAGCCGCCGCGAGGCACAAAAGCGCACCCCCCCTTCCTCCGCCGGCGCTGCCGCCCCCTCCTCCTCCGACCCGAGCGAAAAAGAGAGGGCGCAGCTCCGTAGGCTGGAGCGGGAGCAGGCCATTGTTAATCGACGTTGGGAAGCCCTCGGACCCACGGGATGGGCATGTTTTCCTGCGACCAGGGTCTGGACGACCCCGAGGCCGACCCTCGTTTAGAGGAGGAGGAGAAGGACGAGGAGGAGGAGGAGGAGGAGGAGGAGGAGGAGGAGGAGGAGGAGGAGGAGGAGGGGGAGGAGCGAGCGGCCTCGGGAGGTGTCGGGGGGGGCGGCGGCAGCGGTGGCGGCGGGGCGCAGCAGAGAGGCCGCGGACGGGCCCCCACGCCGCGCTGCCCAGCGGAGGCGAGCCCGCGCGACAGCGTGAAGCTCGGCGACGTATCTCCGTCGCTCACGACATGCACAAATCAGGGTATAGGCTAGGTCATGGAGAAGGCCGACGGAGATCAGGGCAGGGGTAGGAAGGGGACCAAGGGGGAAAACGAGGATCCGATGCACCGCCGAGGCATCCAGAAAAAACCCTCGGGGAGCGACGGGAGCATTCGGAAAATATCCCCCAGGACGGGGCAACAATAATAGTGCTGTATGTCATCTCTCCCCCCCCCCACACGGCAAACTTACACCACCTGCAACATAAAGTGGCATCTCGAAACCTGCGAGAGGTGTACCAACTATTACACAGGGCACGGACCGATGCAATGACGACGCGCTGGGGGGCAATCTGGCCAAGTCGCCCCAGATGCATCATGCGCGCATATACTTCTGGGGCCGCGGGGGGGAGACGGGCGAAATATTGGACGCGCTTGCTAATCGTGCGCCGTGCGGCGAGGGGGCGGTCAGCGCTCAGTAGGCGATCGACGTTCCCTTGCAGCGGGGGCGTCAGGGGCGGCAACAGAAGGAGAGCAGTGACCGTGTCGTAGTTTTCGATCAGGGCCATGATGGAGCATGCCTGGATGAGGGGGTGCCTTTTCCAAAGGATAACGCAGTCATCGGATTCGGCGAATTCTTCGAGCTCACGTCGGATGGCGAAGAACGAGGACGAATAATGAGCGAGACGAAACATCGCAGCACGGCACATGCATTCGAAATCACGTATCTGAACTCTGGCCCCCACGGAGGTGAGGTCTAGAAACAACGCAGTCGGGATGGCGCTTCTCGGCGCGTTTGTGAGGGCCTGCCCAGCCTCACGTAGACGGTCCAGAGCGAATTTGCTGGGCAGGGAGAACTGCCCGATAAACGCGAAGCAAGAGAATCCGTGCACATTAAACCTGGATATGCTCTTGATGAGTCCCAGATACAAGCTCTTGCTACCTCTGGCCCTCCCCTCCATCTCCCGCGCAGGTCCTTCCCAGCTCAGCGACTTAGCTTCCCACCCAAGAACCGCCCCAAGATATCGGGCAGCAGTAGCAAGAGTGAAATTACCCCTGCGGATGCCAATCTCGCGGAGCTCATTCTTAAACTCATCGGCCGAGGGCCGGCTGTAAATCACGATGTCTTCTTGAGGTGCAAAATAAACCCTGCCGCGCCTGCAGCAACAACCCAAACCTCCAAAGCCAGCGAGAAAGCCTGATAAATGTCCCTGGAGACGATCCCGACGTCGTCGGCGAAGGCCCGCGCGAGGCCGAGGTGTGGGGGGATTTTGCAGCACATAAGCCTGAGGATCGGGTCCATGGCCAAAATGGATCCAGAAAGCGGACACCCTTGTTTAATTCACCGCTCCTGCCAATAAAAGTGCCCACGGAGCCCGCAGAAGAAAATGTCAATGCGCACGTGCAGGTGCGGGGCCGCCACGGCCGCGCGGATGTGGGAGGGGGCATTCACGACGAGGAGGATCCAGGAGATCATGCTGTCCTTCGACAAAACCCGTATCTCGATATAAAGGCTGGCAGTACCAGTGGAGCGCTTTTGCCTCGATGTCTAAGATATTGTTAGTCATGCGCCTGCCTCTTATGAAACCCTTCTGGACGTCGAGGCAACTTTGCTCGCGCATCAGGCCCGTCGGAACGTTGATCGCCGTGGAGACGATCTTATTGCAGGTGTTGCTGAGGGTGATGGGCCTAGTGCTTTCAGCCGCTCGAAAGATGCCAGTGCCTAGAGCGTCCGAAGCCTGTTCGCCTTTTGCCAGAAACACAGCCATTCCGTGGTTGAAATCGCCCCCAGGAAGTTCGCCTCTCAGAACCAGAGAGTAAACCTCGAAGATAAGATTGGTGACCAATGGGCCCCCGCGGGCCCAGCAGGAGAACGGGGTCCCGTCCGGCCTAAGGGCGCCGTCGTACATGCTAGAGACGATGTGGTGGATCTCGGGGAGCTCTAGAGTCCAATGGATGCCTGGCGGACAATGCTGAATATACGGCCTCAGAAGTTCGCGAACATGACTGGCTCCAGGGAACCCTTTGTGAACTTGCCCCCAGTGCTGTGCAAGGGCGAGCCCAGCTTCATCAGGGTCGTGTAAATGCTGCCCCGTAGGATCCACGACGCCAGTCAGAGAAACTGTTTTCTGAAACTTTCCCCAGGCAGAGGCGTACGATTCCAGCCGAGCCTTCAGAGTGGCCTTTTTTGGGGGGGCCCATTGAGGTCGCCTCGAGTGTGGCCTGGCGTCCCTGGATCCTCTGGAGGGAGAGACCTCGCATATGCTCGTGAACTTGACGCTCGCCTGTCCAAGCGGCGCCAACGCTTTGCACGTAATGGCCAAGCTGCGGGTAGCATCGGACAGCGCGAGCAACCAGCTCAGCGCGTCCC